GACGACTTGATCCTGACTCATGGAGAAAGGATCTGCCAACAACCCCATTCAGCCGATCCACCCCAGTCTCAAGATCAAGATGTCCAAGAGACAAAGAGCCCACACCTGCAAGACCAACCCATTCTTACCATCCAGCCTCACCACTAGTCAACCATCCCTGCATAATACCATTGGCTTGGCTCGGCTCACCTCACGGGTTGAACACCAACCCAACCAAACTATAACACTCGAGCTCACCCATCCTGACAGACCCGAACGAATATCAAACAACCCCTTGACCATCTCATGTAGGGCGAAACACCAGATCAGTTACCATGGGAGTCATCCGACCGAAGGAATGAACAGAGATCCGGCTACCATGGTGTGCACGAAGGAATGATCCACCAGACTACACCGCGCGGGATGACCCAACGGAATATGCCAAGGACGAATGCATGGTTGACCGTCAAACAGGATGACCTAATGGTATCCCTCTCTCCTATGAACAACTGGGCCAAAGGCTGGCTGATGTAGAGGCATGTGATGAGGCGTATCCCATGAATGCCGGTCCTGACCAGAAGAGCAGGCCTCACTGTTATGCGGATTCCCCGTTATGGACGATCACCCTAGTCGATATGGCCCAGAGTTTACTATTCCCAGCATGAAACCCTACGACGGCCACAACCGACCCAGATGATCACATAGCCTCATACAAGCAGCGGATATTCACTGTCTCAAAACCCCGACGCTAAGGGAAGCCTGCATGTGCAAGAGTTTTGGTTCAAGCTTATCCGTCATAGCACTCCAGTGGTACACAATCTCCCAACGTTTTTCATCGACTCATTCGCTCAGCTCACTGACACCTTTGTGGAGCAGTTCGCCAGCAGCAAGAAACTAGAAGCTGTCGGCTGATCTATACAGAGTTACCAGAGGAGGGAGAGCCACTAAGAGAGTATGTCAGCAGATTCAATAAGAGAAGATTTCCATCCCTTCCTGTAACCCTGAGATAGCCGTAGACACCTTTAAAAAGGTCTCCTCCCGGATAGTGAACTTACAAGAACTAACAAGCTAGGCTGCACCCCGATGAAGACGCCTTGGCCAGAGCAACGATTCAAATAGGGTGGGAGAAAATGAGATGAATCAGCAATTCACGCTAGGTATGCGGAATGCAGAATGATAGAAGCCAAAGCTCAATCGATTGTAGGCCCTACAAGGTCACCAAAGAGCAGGGAAGGGTACCTACCTGCTCCAAACTCCCAAAGGCAAAGACATTAGCAACAGTTGGAATGCATCCATCCCACATGCACTAATTTTAGGTGAAATCATCTAAATATTTTTGTCTTTTTATTTTTTTATTTAAAAGGATGAGTAGTAGCCCATCCCCTGCCTTCTAGACGCGATCTCATGGCCTGAATTCAATAAAGCATTATTCATGTAATAACTCCTTCTATTCAAATACTCTAAAATATGCACATAAAGAAAACACATGTAAAATAACATAAATAGTTGGGCCCAAATTTTTCTTTCATTAAACAATATATGTACATAAATATTCTTTTCACAAACATTGTAACATGTACAAACATCAAAATAAGATGGACAGTGTAGCCATTCCCCTTCGCTTGCTGACGTCCATCCGACTGTGTCCTCACCTAGATCCTGCAAAACATGAAAAAAAATGGGTGAGCACAATATGCTCATTAAGTAAATCCTCTACCTCTATCTCCGTAACTATCTCTCTCTAATTCTTTCCTTACAATTCTCATTTACTCTCTCTCCTTATACCTCTCTCTCTCATAACTCTTTTCTACTAATCTCTTTTAGTAGTCACGACCTCATCTTACCATAGGCACGGCCGAGACTCACTCCTACTCTACTGACTTCTACTCATTCTGCCATCGGACTCGTTATGCATGGATTCGGAACCCTTGCCATGTGAGTATATAATCTCTCTCTCGGGTACTCGGTGATAGCCCTCATCCGCATGCACTCTCACGGGCTATACCCTTCTCTTTCTCATACTCATGCCGCTCTCTCAATGCGGCGTACATGCAGGAATACTCTACCCATAACTCACGGGTTCCCCATCCACACACCCTCTATTCTCTTTTTTTAGGACTACTTTCTCTTTGTTCTCTAGTGCTCATTCTCTCTTTCCTCTCTCTTTACTCTTAAAGTAGCTTATACTCACATTCTCTACTATTTCTCAAGCTACTTCTTAAGTGCATATAATGCGTATGAACGGCTCATGCTCACTAATGCACTTATGCAAAGTACAAATGCAATGGTACATCAAAGACAGTCATTCGTGCGCAGGTCCACTAAAAAGGGCATAACTTGCGTTATACACATCGGATTACAACGGTTTTAGTCTCGTTTTAAAGCTTATAAACAGGGCTACAACTTTTATGTTTTTGGCTCAGCCCAGTTTAAATCCGTAGATCCCAAAATTGACTTAGAAAGTCCGGCTATGATAGGGCAGATTTCACTTAGGCATTTCCTCAAATAACTCATGTGCATAACCAAAGCTCTACTTATCTATAATTCTACTCTTCTCTTTAATCAATCCAAATGAGAGGAAAGCTCTCCATACACTCTAATTTCCTGTCAAGGCAAAACACTCCCATAGGGTTTGCTCATAACTCCCTCCAACTCAATCAACTCACTCATCATCATACATCACAACACTTTCTCATAACTCAATTAGATTCATATCAACATATTACATACTTATAACATCTCAATTTCTCAGCAAGCATATACACACATATACAATTTCTACTCAAATAAATTCTTAAATCTCATTTAGTTTGGATTTACTTGCCTTTAATGGAGAGGTTCCACTAATACTTCTCCTTAGTACCTTGTCTCTTCTCTACACCTTTAACCCATAAACCATAGGCTTCAAGATACAAATACAAGCAAAGCTATATCTAAAGCAAGAATCCTTACCTTAGGATGCTTTAGATGAAATCTTTACTAAAAAAATCTACCCAAAAGCTCCTTAGAAATCTTGGAAGATTGGATGGAGATTGAGAGAAGTTAGAGAAGTGATATGGCGGTGGAAATGGTGAATGAAGGTTTTCTCTACACTTAATTCCTTTTTAGCTCTATTCATCATTTCCCGATTTTTGCCCTTGCTCTTCCTTGGAAATTCCATCTATATCCTTTGATTCTTTACAAATACACCCTATCACCACACATTCCTACTAATTTTCCTTTCATTTTACTCCTCACTTTTCCTACTAATTGGGGGTAGAAAGGTCATTATGCCCCAAAGGAGAATTCTCAAGAAATTTTTTTTTAGGCTCTTCGCCGCGGCAAAGAACATTCCGTCGCCCCGGCGAACATGGCAGAACCTACCCGTGGGTGTAGCACCTCATCGCTGCGGTGAAGATTCTCCTTCGCCCCGGCGAAGATTGGATTTCCAAAATTCACCAAATCTCACCCAAACCAGGCAAACACTTAACCAATACAGCATACAAACTCAATTGAAACTGAATCAATGAACTGTTAAGTAATACAGTAAATCTTAGTACGTACCTCAAGTGGGGCGTTACAATTCAGCAATGACACCTTCGAATCAGCCCTGCTCGATTCATGAGCTTTCACACTTCGAATCAGCCCTGCTCGATCCATGGATTTGCATCTTCGGTCGACCCTGCTCGATCCATGTAATTACACCTTCGAATCAGCCCTGCTCGATCCACAGATTTGCATCTTCAGATCAACCCTACTCAATCCATGTATTACACCTTCAAATCGACCCTGCTCGATCCACGGATTTACATCTTCAGATCGACCCTGCTCGATCAAATTTTATTACACCTTCGGATCAACCTTTGCCCGATCCACGGATTTGCATCTTAGATTGACCCTACTCGATCCACGTATTACACCTTCGGATCGGCCCTACTCGATCCAAGGATTTGCATCTTCAGATCGACCCTACGGGATCAAATGTTTGTTACACCTTCGGATCAACCCTGCTCGATCCACGGATTTACACCTTCGGATCGACCCTTGCTCGATCCAACAAATTTACACCTTCAGATCGACCCTGCTCAATACACGGATTTGCATCTTCAAATCGACCCTACTCCTGATCCACTAATCACACCTTCGGATTGACCCTGCTCGATCCACGATTTACATCTTCATATCGACCCTGCTTGATCAAATGTTTATTACACCTTCGGATCGACCTTGTCGATCCACGATTTGCATATTCGATCGACCCTACTCAATCCACATAATTACACCTTCAGATGGCCCTGCTTGATCCACGAATTTGCATCTTCAGATCGACCCTACTCGATCCACGTAATTACACCTTCGGATCGACCCTGCTCGATCCACGGATTTACATCTTCAGATCGACCTTGCTCGATCAATGTTTATTACAACCTTCGGATCAACCTTGCTCGTCACGGATTTGCATCTTCGGATCGACCTTGCTCGATCCACGTAATTACACCTTGGATTGGCCCTGCTCGATCCACGGATTTGCATCTTCAGATCGACCCTGCTCGATCAAATGTTTGTACACCTTCAGAGTCGACCCACTTCATCCAACAGATTACCACCTTTAGATCGACCCTGCTCGATCCACGATTTGCTCTTCAGATCGACCCTCTGCTCGATTTACGGATTTTTTACACCTTCGGGTCGACCCTGCTCGACCACGGATTTACACACTTCAGATCGACCCTACTCGATCCAGAATTTATACCTTCGGATCGGCCCTGCTCAATCCACGAATTTAACCTTCGAATCGACCCTGCTCGATCCATAGTTTAATCTCTGATCGGCCTTGCCTGATTCATGGATCCACACCTTCGATCGGCCTTGCCCTGTTCATGAAGCTACACATTCAGTCTGGCCAGACCGAGTGAAGGGTTCTTACACCTCAAAATCGACAAGTCATTGACCCACCCAACCCAACCCAAAGAGAGTTCACACGACTCGCCACTAGGCTGCACCAAAATCAAGACAAAGCATATGACTCACCTCCAACCACATCACTCCATCCCAAACTCCCACCAAAAACCAACACAAAACCCACACACCAGCCAACCATCAACTCCAATCCAAACCAAACACCCGCACACCATCCAACTTCCACAAAGCCCCAAACTCCCATCCACTCCACCACATCCACACACCTCCAAAAACCATTTACCCCTCCTCCAACCACAACTCCAAACAAAACCCAAAAGCCAACCCACCCAAACTCCACACCAACCATTCATCCCACTCCAAACTCCATCCAGCGCCACAAAAAAGCTCCCAACCACAACTCCCCTTCCCCTGCCCAACTCCACCAACTCCACCCTCCATCCATCCACCTCCAACGCCAAAAATCCAATCAACTCCAACAAACCAAAATACCACCTCCACCAGCCCGACTCCAAAACTCCACTCCACAAACACACCCAAAACAACCAACACTCCACTTCCCACCATCCACCAGTCCACCAACCAACATCCAATCCATCCACCCGACCCAACATCCAACCCAAACCACAAGCTCCCAAACTCACACCCTCCAAACCATTGGTCACCCGCCCCATCCAACAAAACAGCAAAGCCTCACCGCACCCAAAATCCCGACCATCCAATCAACTCCCAGAATCCGCCCCAGACACAAAAACTCCATCCAATCCACTCCACCAAAAACTCCAACAGCCTCTCCCAAACACAACCACACACGCCATCCACTCCACAACAATCCAAGACCACCACCAACTCCACAAAAACAATCCAATAAACACCAACCAAACACTCCCCACTCCACCAACAACTCCACCTCCAACCAACACTCCAAACTCCACCAACACCAACCAACAAACCATCCATCCAATCCCCACCCAAACTCCAACAAACCACACGAACCAAACTCCCTCCACTGAACGCCACCACAAACTCCAAAACTCCACTCCAACCACCAGTCCCCCACCAACAAAAACATCCACCAATCCAATCCCAATCCAATCCAATCATCCAACCACCCAACCTCCACCAACCATCCTGTCTTCACTCTCCCCCAAGAACCGGTATTGGATGTCCCCTCTACCTGACTGACCAACCACCAACCAACCGACTCAACCCACTACTCACTCCCAGGAAACAAGTATTGATCTCTCATCAACCTGACTGACGACCCTCAACTCCACCATCTTACTCCCTAGGAACAAAGTAGTTGGATCTCCACTCTACCACCGCAGACCGACTCAACTCCACCTCCGATCTCCATCCCCAGTAACCAAGATTGGATCTCACTCCACCTGACCGACCGACTCCACTCCCCCATCCTTCTCCCCTATGAACCAAGTATTGGATCTCCACTCTACCCGACCAACCGACCGACCGACTCAACTCCATCCTCACTCCCCAAGAACCAAGTATTGGATCTCTACTCTACTCAACCGACCGACTAAACTCCACCATCCTCACTCCCTAGGAACCAAGTATTGGATCACCACTCTCCCTATGCCACCGACCGACTGACCGACTCGGTCTTTTTAAACTTTGACTATCACCACTCACCCCACCCCACGCCACCGATAAACATACAGACTTAACCTGTCTAAAGATTCAATTGCCCTTCCTACTCAACCGAGCTAGCACATTGTAACAGGCCAGCTCCCGTAACGAAGCTGACACTCTCATGCTTCACGTCCAGGAGATTCTCCCAATCGGGGCGATTGGCTAGAAGCAGTCTAGCACTTGTTCACCCTCGACGCGATCAAGCCAAGGGGCCTCGCCCATTCGGTCTTCCATAACGAACGAGTGGGCAGCCATGGGTCAAATGTTTGTGCATTTTTTGACCCTTTGGCATCCAATAAAGAGCGCCGTGGAATCACAAGCGCAAGTCTTACGGTCCAACAAGCTGGCCGAGCCGATTCCATCCCACTCGATCACCCGAGTACTCCAACCGAATGAACCTTTAATTTAACATCGTCTCCAACTCATTCGACCCAGCATGCTGAGTGGATACACCTGTCATGGGATTTCAGTTCACTTCTCTAGTCGGCAGGACACACCGAACGAGTATGTGAGCCCCAAAAGTCTCGTTATCTCAGTCCCTTCGACCCTTCACACCGATCAGGCACACCCTCTTAGGGTAATTGCACATTCTGAATCAGCTTTGGTACCGAGCGACCCTTGACTACGAATCACCTACATCTAATTGGTCAACTACGCCGACAATCAGCTGTCTATGAAGGGAGACCGAGCGCGCCTCGATCATTTCCTACTCTCTGACTTAAGAAAAACTTAACTCAGAGAGTGGAGGGCAAATTGTTAGGACCAAAAATCGTCCTTGGCCCAAATAGGAGAACAGGATTGAATGAGGAAGAGACCAGACCCAATCCCGATATGGCCCCATCCGGATTAGGCCTATTTGATACGAGATACAATCGGCCCAAATGATCGGGTCCGGGCCTCCAAATCCCAGTTCACTTCCTGGACCTATGAGCAAGTCCAAAGCCCACGGCACCCATAGATCACTTTCCTATTCCAGATCAGTATCTATTCGAGGTCACCTTCCTATTCAGGTCACTTTCCTACTCGAGGTTACTTTCCTATTCGGGATCACCTTCTTATTCGAACACTGGTAAGACAACTCACCACCGCCCTAATTCCTCTAGGGTTTGTATCAGAGTCACACTAGGACTCCTACTCCCACCAGGACTGGGAGACCAGACAGTTACTATATAAGCAGAGGCTAACCCTCTTACAAAGCAGATTAGATTACATTACACCTTCACACTCGAAGCCCCTATTTGAGAGCTTCACATCACTGTCGTAGTCACAGTCTCTGACTAGACTTCCGGTAGTGTCTCTACTCCCTAGCCCTCACTATACTAACCTTTTTCAGCCTTGCTAACTTGAGCGTCGGAGTGCCTACGGCAAATACCACCCCGATGTTTTCCGTTTGCTTCAAGCTTGTTTCTTTACGTGTGCAGGTGCAACGGATCGCTAGTGGCCTCAATCTCACGGGATCAGACCCCCCTTCTGTATAGGTAGATTTTTACGTCTACAAAACTCTAACAGGTATGCAATTTTTTTTACATAATTCATAACCAAACCAAAATAGCATATTTTCCAAAAGGAATGTCATCGTTCATACCTTAATTGGTTCCCCAGTAAGCAACTCAAGAAGGAATGTCAACATTCCTCATCGTCGTTCACGACTCTGCCCAACCTCATGCCAAAGGTGCTCAAGTCATTCCAAACTGCACGACCAAACAACACAACTCGTTCCAACCATATTTGAAGACTTAAGGCTAAAGCACACACACCTAATAAGGAACGACTAAAGAACAACATCGTTCCATTGTCATTCATGATTCTGGAATCTTGACAAGTTTATGCTATTTGAGAAGGAATGCCGCTTTGTCGTGGTGGAATGACCGCTCTAGTCAAAGACAAGATTTTTGACTTAGAAGATTTAAGCTCAAAGTCAAGTTTTGGAATTCAAGTATTAGTCCTGAACGACATCCCCAAACGACCGTTGAAGAATCATTCAAAGATCGTTCCATGAGGAATGACATCAGTCAAAGAAAATGTTCATGATTTTGGAATTTCTTGAAATTAAGGAACAAAACTCAAACGACCGTTCACCATGGTGGAACACTCACTCGCGCTAGGGTAATGTCACATTTAGAATAAGAAACAATCGTCACATTCAGAATAAGAAACAATCATTCCAAAACCTAGACCTAATCGAAAAGTGAGCATTGGTGTCAAGAACGATTGTTTGCGATGGTGGAACGACCTCTCCTCTAGGTACTACAGCTTTCAGACGAGCATTAAATGCAGCAACGACTCTTTATTTCAAAAGGGAGAGATAAACAATAAAGTAACTATCTCTCTCTAATTTTTTCCTTACAATTTCATTTACTTCTCTCTTATACCTCTCTCTCTAATAACTCTTTCTACTAACTCTCTTTAGTAGCACGACCTCATTACTGGAGGCACGGCCGAGACTCACTCCCATCTACGTGACTTCTACTCATTCTAGCCATCGGACCGGTTATGCATGGATTCGGAACCCTTGGCCATATGAGTATATAACTCTCTCTCGGGTACTCGGGTATAGCCTCATCCGCATGCACTCTCACGGGCTACACACTTCTCTTTCTCATACTCATGCTGCTCTCTCAATGCGGCGTACATGCCGGAATACTCTACCATAACTCACGGGTTCCCATCCCACAACCTACTCTATTCTCTTTGTTTAGGACTACTTTCTCTTTGTTCTTAGTGCTCATTCTCTCTTTCTTCTCTTTACTTTAAAGTAGTTATACTCAAATTCTCTACTATTTCTCAGCTACTTCTTAAGTGCAAAATAATGCGTATGAACGGCTCATGCTCACTAATGCACTTATGCAAAGTACAAATGCAATGGTACATCAAAGACAGTCATTCTGCGTGGTTACACTAAAAAGGGCATAACTTGCGTTATACACATCGGATCACAACGGTTTTGGTCTCGTTTTAAAGCTTATAAACAGGGCTACAATTTTATGTTTGGTCTCAGCCCAGTTCAATCGTAAAATACCCAAAATGCACTTAGAAAGTCACGGCTATGATAGGGCAGATTTACTTAGGCATTTCCTCAAATAACTCATGTGATACCAAAGCTCACTATCTATAATTCTACTTCTCTTTAATAATCCAAAATGCGAGGAAAACTCTCTCATACACTCTAATTTCCTGTCAAGGCAAAACACATCCCATAAGGTTTGCTCATAACTCCCCCCAACTTCAATCAACTCAACTCATCATCATACAATCACAACACTTCTATAACTCAATTAGATTCATATCAACATATATACATACTATAACATTCAATTCTCAGCAAGCATAATACAAACATATACAATTTCTACTCAAATAAATTCTTAAATCTCAATTTAGTTTGGATTTACTTACCTTTAATGGAGAGGTTCACAATACTTCTCCTTAGTACCTTGTCTCTTCCTCACACCTTTAACCCAAAAACCATGAGGCTTCAAGATACAAATACAAGCAAAGCTATATCTAAAGCAAAATCCTTACTTAGGATGCTTTAGATGAAATCTTTACTAAAAAAATCTACCAAAAGCTCCTTAGAAATCTTGGAAGATTGGATGGAGAATTGAGAGAAGTTAGAGAATGGATATGGCGGTGGAAATGAAGGTTTTCTCTACACTTAATCCTTTTTAGATCATATTATACCTCATTTCCCATTTTGCCCTTGCTCTTCCTTGTAAATTCCATCTATATCCTTTGATTCTTTACAAATACCACCTTATCACCAACCCTTTCTACTAAATTTCTTTTTATTTTACTCCTCACTTTTCCTACTAATTGGGGGTAGAAAGGTCATTATGCCCCAAAGGAAGAATTCTCTAGAAAACTCAAGAAATTTTTTTTTTTAGGCTCTTCGCCGCGGGCAAAGAACATTCCGTCGCCCCGGCGAAAACATGGCAGAACCTACCCGTGGGTGTAGCCCTCATCGCTGCGGTGAGATTTCCTTCGCCCGGCGAAGATTGGATTTCCAAAATTCACCAAATCTCAA